CTGTAAATACCAAACGCTAGTACAAATTCAGGGATAGTCAGTTTCCTGTTCAGGCGGGCATCCCTAGATCTGACAATAACAGATACATCATCATAAGCATATGTCTTATGTTCTACAATGTCCTGGGAGGCAATCAACAGGGAAGCCAGGTTGACGTCTTTACCTTCCAGGATATCCCTTTTGATGTGCTCAGGTATCATGTGGGCCGGGCTAACTTCCTGGTCATCCAGGGTGCTGGCTGGAGCGACTAATGGCAAGGCTGGTGGTTGTACCGCAGCAGCGGATGGCCCTGCTAGAGTGAGGGCCGTGGTGACCGACTCAAGTTTCTCCAGCCTGGAGTTGACCTTGCTCATGGATGCCATGAGTGAGGATAACATGGCATGTATGTCACCTGGGTTGGACTGGCTAGCCCCTTCCCCGGCATCCATGTTATTAGTCGATGTGCGTAGCAGTTTGAAAAGTTCTGCCTTCCTTGCTGTAGCGGGGTAGGGGATTTGTCGTCTCCTTAATTCCGTGGTTATGCGCGGGATCGTCCAGGATCTGATTGATGCTGGACTAGCTAGCTCTCCTCCTTGTGTGGGAGTGACAGCTCTTGCCGGGGTGCTAGGCAGGGAGAAATCCTCTTTCCTGAGACATACTATAAATAAAACAATTAATTAGTATATAGAACCACCAAATTGTACTGGCAGGCTAGCTAGGCCGGATGGCGAAAGTATTATACTTGTTTGGTGACAGGTGAGGCCCTGCTAATTGCCAATTGCCAAGGCTTGAGAGGCTCTATCTATGCGTTGGCGCGAGGGGTTATTGATGCCACTCGACATAGTGGCAGGAGTTTCAGGCCTCTCGGTGACTGTAAGACAGAAAACAGGGGAAGGGAGTGACAGGTGAGGCCCTCTCTATGCAACATGCGAGGCGGCTAGCTAACGTGTGGCCCGATGGGTGTTTGCCTCTGGAACGTTTGAGGTGGGGTGTTGGCCTCGCGGGACCACTAACTGATGGCGACTGCCAAGACGGGGTAAATACCTATTGGGAATCCTGTGACCCTATTGCCAGTACTGTAAACTAGGGGGATGAAATTAAATGTATGGTAGAATACCATATGAGCAGGTGTACGTACCTGGTAGTATGACAAAATTACAGTATGAATAAAGCGTGTGGAGCAAATATATAAGCTTGACAGCCTAAAAATGGGTAAAAGAGTAGTATGATGAGTGTGGAGTGTGAAAAGAAACAGACTTATAGCCTGTAGCAGCAATGTTTTAAAATTATGTTGATACCATGGGAATAGATATGAGTGGCTCAGAAATGTGTGCATGTTTGAATAAGACATCTGAGGGAGGCCGTGGCCTATGTACAAACAATCTATGTGTTATGTGATAATGGTGTGTAAAGGAAAACATGAAATGTAGGTTATATACATATGTATATGACTGTGCAGGAAACGTATGATTGGTTGGATCAGTACGTGTGATTCAACCCGAGTATGCATGAAAAAGGAATTAAGCCTTATGTGTCATTGTCATGACAGAGAAATGAGGCCTGTAATATAGGCTGAGTGAATTGAAATGAAATGGATAATTATAAAACTCCTGGCGTGGGAGTTCAATGATCTGTACAGAAATGTAGTTGGTTTTATAGAGAGGGACATGGATGAGGTCATGGCCTATTTTACACAGCGTTATGTATGATATATAGCAGAATAACCAAAGGCAGGGGTACCCAAAATGTAAAGTGATGTATATCTATATGATATATTTGTATTGAAAAGACGTATCAACCCGAGAATTATTGCTTAAATGAACCTGTATCCTTTGTATGTGTTGTAGTAATAACACAGAAGGGAGGCCTGTAACATAGGTTGAGTCCATTCGTATGAATGGATAAGTAATGCAGACCCCTGAAAGCGTGGGAGTCAAATGGTCTATACAGATAAGTGGACGTAATACAATACTGACAATATTTGAAAGTAATAGAAATAAACTATTTAAACAAGCAATTCTTAGCCGAACGTTATATACACATGAAATGGTGAATATAATGCATGAAAGGATTATACGTAATACATAGAAATAAAGCCGAAAGCAAATGTGAGGGAAACACAGAAGTTAGAATAGTTTAACCGTATGACTTTATGCGAACCGAAAGCGTGTTTGAGCGTATGTGAAAATTGTCGAACGGCAAAACAACCGAATGATAATTCGTTTCAATATAACATGAAATAGGATATGCGAAATGACTATTAAACGATTAAATTGTTCAGCCGAATGACCGTACGAATGAAAAAGCCCGCGAATGGCTTGAAACATTCGTGTCATAACCAGGGAAAAAAATGTAAAGCGAGGACCCGTGCTGTACCGTACGCCGTGGGAACCGGTCCTGGCGTGACAGGTAGGTCTGACTTACGGTTTAGGAGTCCCTGGGACGTGATCTACGACGAAGACCGGAGTCAGAAGAAGCTGGACGGGCGGAGAGGCCTGAACAGGATTCCTGGACACAGCTAACGTGGTGAAAACCTCGTGGATACTGAACCCAAGATGGCGTCTGAGAGAACCCGGAAGTGGATCCTCATTCAACGCTGACCTCGAACGGTAAGGAGCAAGGTAAGGGGAGTGCCTTAAGTAGGCTAGGGGTAGTAAACCAGCACCTCCCACAAATCCAGGCAAATTGCCTTTATATATATATATATACATACATACATACATACACACACACACACACACACATATTTAACTCATATTTAAAAATGGACATCGGGTTCAATTTAAGAATAATTTTAGGAAACTGAGATTTATATACAATTATAGACAATTAATTATTTAGTTTGATTAATATTTTACTTTTGCATATCTTGGCTTTCCCTTTTAACACTGCAGCGGATGAGTCCCTGCACCGGAAATTAGATAAGTAATCTTTATTTATAAATGCTTCCACATCCGGGACAAAGATTCTGGACTCAATCGTGTCCATTAAAATAAGTTCTTTATTAAACATGAAGTATTAAATTGGATCACCACGTGCAGAAGGGGACACAGAGGAAAGAAACCCTAAAGTGTTTTGTCCCATACAAAGCACTTCCTCCACTCAAACTATCCTACTCAAACACGTTAAATACATACCACAAACATCCATGTAAATATGCAGCCCCAGTAGGAGTGAAGAAACAATAAAACTTGGAAGTCCCTAGTTAACTAAATGCAAACAAACAAACAAAACAAAAAAAACACTGACACCTTTTGTATAATCAAAAATAAAAAGATAGGAAAAAGTGAGAGAAAAAAACAGAAAACAGAAAAACTATAACAATAAATACATCTTCACCACCTACACTAAAGCAAATAAGATAAAAAAAAAATAAAAAAAATTCTGCTTCTAATATCAAATTATAGAATTAAAGTCCGTTGGAAACACCTCTTGCATGATCATTTCTATTCATTCCAGGACTCCTGCCTCCTGTGATCAGCCCTGGTAAATTATTAATTAATACACTATTAGGCTACTAAACACTTTAAATTGCTTGCTTTGTGTAGTTGTATATTTAATTCAAGAGAATATTTACTCTATTCTCCTACTAACACTAAATAAGTGGCAATCTTCTTTTCATTAACAGCATAAATATTTTTCTACATATAGTCGTTAGGCTAATCTTAATTAACTTGCATAATTTGGTAATAGACGCTTTTTCTAAAACACTGTTATTGGTTTTTTGCTACACTTTATGTTACATTTTCCTGTCACACTGTAATATTGTCTCCAGTGTGTAACAATCAAGAATTGCTGCAATAACAGCCTATATGTGGGTGAAGCTTATTTAGCTTACTAATGTTTTCACAGCTTAGGTAATAATGCCCACCTGATATACTAGGTGACTAGGGGTTTTAATTGTTTTTTTTTACTCCTAGTAAGGCTGGAGATTTACATGAGTGTTTGCAGTATGTATTTAACTAGAGTTGAGCGGACACCTGGATGTTCGGGTCCGGCAGGTTCGGCCGGACTTTGAAAAAAAGTCCGGGTTTGGGGTCGAACTGGACCCCGAACTTGACTTCGAACCCGAACCCCATTGAAGTCAATGGGGATCAGAACTTTTGGCCACAAAAATGCCTCGAAAAAACTCCTGGAAAGAGCTAGAGAGCTGCAAAAGCAAGTAAAATGGGGGTAAGAGTAGGACAAGTGCCCTGCAAACAAATGTGGATAGGGAAATCACTTACAATAACATAAAAATTAAAAATACATCTGAGCCATAAAATAGCACTAGATGGAATCTTTGATTTTAGCTTTGGAAGAACATAATTCAAAATCTAAAGCATGGCTGTCAGGAGGATCACCAGAATTATCCATTTGAGAGAGGGTTGGAGTGAAGGGTATTCTCTTTCATTGTTGAAACTAAGCTCAACTCCTGATGCATGGAGAAAACGCCTTCACAAGCCTCTGCTATTGTGTACATAGTTTATACTAAGTGACCAATAGGTTGAGGAGGCGGTGACCGTGGTGGTGTAGGTGGAAGCAGCGGTGGAGGAGGAAGATGAGGTAGCCAACACTGTTTTTTATTTTATTTTATTTTTTTAATTGTGGTAGCCAACAAAATATTGGGACATACAAATAAAGAAACATTTGTGGGCTGAGGTGCATTGCCTGCAGTCCTGATGCATGGAGAAGTGCTCAACTCCTGATGCATGGAAAAAAAAGCCTTCACAAGCCTCTGCTAATGTGTACCTAGTTTATACTAAGTGACCCATAGGTTGAGGAGGTGGTGACCGTGGCGGTGGAGGAGGAAGCAGCGGTGGAGGAGGAGGATGAGGTAGCCAACACTGTATTTTATGTTGTGTTTTGTTTTTTAATTGTGGTAGCCCACAAAATATTGGGACATACAAATAAAGAAACATTTTCTGGCTGCGGTGCATTTCTTGCAGTCCTGATGCATGGAGAAATGCTCAACTCCTGATGCATGGAGAAACGGCCTTCACAAGCCTCTGCTTTTGTGTACCTAGTTTATACTAAGTGACCCATAGGTTGAGGAGGCGGTGACCGTGGAGGAGGAGGATGAGGTAGCCAACACTGTTTTTTTTTATTAAATATATCTTTTTTTTTTTATTGGGTTAGCCCCCAAAATATTGGCACATATAAAAAAAGACAACTCTGTTCCGCAGAGTAGCTGTTGACATAATAGTTGCGCAGGAACTTTGTTGACTCTAGAGAACCTCGGGCAAATCGCACATCCTCGTGGCGGCAACTTTGCATGCGGATATCATCCATATCAACTTTTCGATGCCAGTTTCTACACCTACAATGGTGACCATGGGTAATGGGGAATCAGGGTTCCATTTTGTACAGGGACCCTGAGAAACGGCTACCACATGCAAGGAAGGCAATAGGCATGCAAATGACCAACTCCCGACGAGGGAAGGTAGTGACGACAAATAACAATAGAGGACTATTTAGAGGCCCTGTAATTGTAATGAGTCCACTTGAAATCCTTTAACTCTGATCAATTGGAAGGAAGTCTGGTGCAGAGCCACTGACCCATGCGTGCTGCAGCTGAAACTCCACTATCGCCTGCTGCTGCACGTACAGTCTCATGAGGCGGTGAGCAGGAAGGCCAAAGTTACGCTGCAGCGCAGACAGGCGAGCAGCAGCAGGGTGACCACGCCAAAAGCGCGCACAGCCGCTACAGTAAATGTCACATCCTGTTCCATGTTGCGGATCTGTCTGGTGACGGCTTCTGGTATCCAGTACTCTTTTTACTGAAGCTGCATCAGGGTCCTGGTATGTGGCCGCACAAACACTGGTGCTCAACACCAGGGGGCATACGGTTACCCTGCACCAGACCCTGCTAATCTATTGCACACTGTGACTCCTAACTTCAAAATCAGGCAACTTTAACATCCTGGTCATCCTACCGTCACCCAGACAGTGTCTGGGTTCTGGTCACCGGACTGCCCACCTGACTGTGAAACTACGAATGGATCGTTAAATCTGGTACGAACCTGAACTTTGCAGTTCGGGTTTGCTCAACTCTATTATGGATCCTTTGATCGCTACATGTATTACTTTGATAACTAGTAATTCTTGAGCTAATACATGCCGACGAGCGCTAGGGGACAGCCGCTCCGCTTTTGCACCCTGCTCCCTCTTATGCTCTGCTGGTGCCTCTGTGCAACCAGCGCCTCTTCCTCCAAACTGCACACGTCACTCGCATGACCTTGATTCCGTGTGGGGCCCAGCACATCATCATCCTCCACATCATCTTCCACCCACTCCTCAACCCTGCCCTCCTTGCCGGTATGCACACTGCAGAAAGCCACAGCAGTTGGCACCTGTGTTTTTCCAGCATGTAAAGTCTGCAAAGGACATATGGTAATTGTTTTAGAATTTCCTCCATGCAACAGTTTTCCCTATAAACTGACCTCTCAGTTTGACTTGTGAGGGTATTGCCCCAGAATTACAATATTGTTGAAGTACCTCTTAGCTATTGATCACTGGTTTAAATATAGCATCTTGTTATCTTGTAGTGTAGAAAATATCAATCTGTTTTCTATCACTTAGATCTGTGTAACAAGTGTTGTGGGTGTGAAACAATATTACAAGTGACCGATGTAGTAAATTTGAATCAAAGTTACGCTTCGATTTGACTCTCAGATATGAAGTGAACACCCCAAATATACTATTTAGCACCAACAAAAATAAAAAATTACTTTTTAAAACTCCAATGTAAGCAGCAGATTAGCAGCAAAACAATTAGAATGTTTACAACTGCGCAGTTAGCGCACTATTTGATGCTTCTATTTGACTCTCAGATATGAAGTGCACCGCAGGCCGCAAATGTACTATTTAGCAGATTAGCAGCAAAACAATTAGAATGTTTACAAGTGCGCAGTAAGCACACTATTAGACGCTTCGATTTGACTCTCAGATATGAAGAGCATGTCACAAAATGTACTATTTAGCAGATTAACACCCAGAAAATAAGAATGTTTACAAGTGCGCTGTAAGCACACTATTAGACGCTTCTATTTGACTCTCAGATATGAACTGCATGCCCCAAAATGTACTATTTAGCAGTTTAGCAGCAAAACAATTAGAATGTTTACAATTGCGCTGTAACCGCACTATTTGACGCTTCGATTTGCCTCTCAGATATGAAAAACAGGCCCCAAAATTTACTATTTAGCAGATTAGCACCCAGAAAATAAGAATGTTTACCAGTGCGCTGTAAGCACACTATTAGACGCTTCTATTTGACTCTCAGGTATGAAGTGCACGCCCCATAATGTACTATTTATCAGATTAGCAACAAAACAATTATAATGTTTACAAGTGCGCAGTAACATAGAAACATAGAAACACAGAATGTGACGGCAGATAAGAACCATTCGGCCCATCTAGTCTGCCCAATTTTCTAAATACTTATAGTTAGGATAGCCTTATGCCTATCCCACGCATGCTTAAACTCCTTTACTGTGTTAACCTCTACCACTTCAGCTGGAAGGCTATTCCATGCATCCACTACCCTCTCAGTAAAGTAATACTTCCTGATATTATTTTTGAACCTTTGTCCCTCTAATTTAAGACTATGTCCTCTTGTTGTGGTAGTTTTTCTTCTTTTAAATATAGTCTCCTCCTTTACTGTGTTGATTCCCTTTATATATTTAAATGTTTCTATCATATCCCCCCTGTCTCGTCTTTCCTCCAAGCTATACATGTTAAGATCCTTTAACCTTTCCTGGTAAGTTTTATCCCGCAATCCATGAACCAGTTTAGTAGCCCTTCTCTGAACCCTCTCTAAGGTATCAATATCCTTCTGAAGATACAGTCTCCAGTACTGTGTACAATACTCCAAGTGAGGTCTCACCAGTGTTCTGTACAATGGCATGAGCACTTCCCTCTTTCTACTGCTAATACCTCTCTCTATACAACCAAGCATTCTGCTAGCATTTCCTGCTGCTCTATTACATTGTCTGCCTACCTTTAAGTCATCAGAAATAATCACCCCTAAATCCCTTTCCTCATATGTTGAGGTTAGGACTCTATCAAATATTCTGTACTCTGCCCTTGGGTTTTTACGTCCAAGATGCATTATCTACATTAAATGTCAGTTGCCACAATTCTGACCATTTTTCTAGTTTATCTAAATCATTTGCCATTTTGCTTATCCCTCCTGGAACATCAACCCTGTTACATATCTTAGTATCATCAGCAAAAAGACATACCTTACCATCAAGACCTTCTGCAATATCACTAATAAAAATATTAAAGAGTAATCACACTATTAGACGCTTCTACTTGACTATGAAGTGCACCCCACTAATGTACTTTTTAGCACCCAAAAAAAGTTTTAAAACTGCAATGTGACAGCAGTATTTGACGATTCTATTTGACTCTCAGATATGAAGTGCACCCCACTAATGTACTTTTTCGCACCAAAAAACAATTTACTTTTTAAAACTCTGATGTAACCACGGTATTTGAAGCTTCTATTTGACTCTCAGATATAAAGTGCACACCACCCCACTAATGTTCTAGTTTGTAGAATTATTTCCAAAGCTGTCCCTGTCAGCGGCAGCATCCGCTCCCTACACTAATAAGAATGCATGTGCGTGCGGTGCTACGCGACTCCAGCTTATATATAGAGACTGGGTCACATGCTGCACTGGCCAATCACAGCCATGCCATTAGTAGGCATGGCTGTGATAGCTTCTAAGGGCACACAAGTCAAACACTTGTTGATTGGCTGCCTGCAGGCTTTCAAAACGCGCCATTAAATCGCCGAACACTGAACTCCAACCAGAACATACAGTGATATGTCCGTGTTCGGGTCTGGGGTCCAAAAAACCTAATGTTCAGTACGAACCCGAACTTTTCAGTTCGGGTTCGCTCAACTCTATTGTAACGGATCACCTGGCACCCCGACTGGGTACCTCCGTTGAAGGATGCTCCTAGCGCTTCCTGAGGACTCCAAGCAATCTAGCCGACACCACAACCACCGAATCGGGGAAACATACAAATACTCTGAAGCATAGGAATGCTGTAAACAGCTGAACAGGAAAAGCATACAATCAGCTTACACTCCTGGCAATCAGCATACAATCCAATTCCCCCAATAATGAGACGACACTTCGTTTTGAGGTCAAGCAGAACTGACTGTACTGGCACATACAGCCTCTTTTATTCACAATCCACAAACATAGTACTGCCCACAGGGTTTTGAAATACAACCAATCAATCCGTACAATACACACAGACATTCCCACACAAAATCCTCCCCTCTGCCTGTGATATGATTACTGAACACAATGATTAATCTAATTATCACAGGCAGAGAAATACAGTATTATAAAACATATCACAGGGACCCCAAAACATGCAATAACCCCATAAAATATATCCTCGGAACCGGGGAATCTGGGTGAACCACATATCCAAAATTCACCCAGATCCGTTCAGTAGTTTGGAAGATGCAGTTTAATGCAGATTCCGCAGACCATATAGAGGCTATATGAAAAATAATTACTGTATAATGTGTCCCCTGTTGTATAGTTTAAAACTACTGAACGATGTCTTTGTGCACCAAATACTGGCGAGATGGCACCGTGTAGAAAAGTCCAAACAGTGTCTGTGAGTTAAAATGGCCGCCATCCATTGTTCTCACCATGTGCTTCATCCATTGTTCTCACCATGTGCCTCTGATACATGAAATGGTGGCCACCCAGTAACTCCACAGTATGTTCCCAGATGGTTCTTAAAGGGCCAGCAGCAACATAATAAAATACAATATGCCCAAATACTGTATTTAAAGGGCCAAATCTCCCAAGGCCATAGTCAGCAGGCAGGAGGCGGGCAAACAGGCTTCTCCAATGCCCAGTGGCGAGGTTGGTTTTGCCACATCTATATTTAACCTGTTTGAGTAATAGAGTGGTAGTCTCTGTGGAAGTGCCTTGAACGACACAATACGCATTACTGTCTCTTTCCTTTGTGCTCCCCTTTGCACATTGCATTCCACTGTAATACTTTGTGTTTCATAAAGGACATATTTTATTCAAAATGTTTGAGTATAGTATATTTGCCATGTATGTGGACTTATTGTTGAGGAAGCATTTATATGTTAAGTGGGAGAAGAACCCACACACCAGGACTCTTCCGGTATGACCAGTTTTCTTTACCTACTTTGTCACTTGACTGCTACATTATAGGCAAAGTAAGATTTAATTAACCTTATTGTATTGATTAATAGGGGATGGACAGTAATCACTGCTCTGTCCTTGGAAATCTGACTGGTGTCTGCAAACAATCTACTATTCTGACACTCTGTAGAGCAGGGGTCCTCAAACTCTGGCCCCCCAGATGTTGCTGAACTACAACTCCCATGATTCTTTGAATTACATAGCCAGAGAATCATGGGAGTTGTAGTTCAGCAAC